GCTACTAAAAAGAAAAGAGAATGCCTATAGTTGAGCCCAGCAAGGGGTTTGGATTCCTCCTTCCGGCATCTAAGGCCCCAACTGGTTGGAGCTTCTATAAATTCAAAGAGAAGCATAGCTCTTGGACAAGATGCCATCCAACTCAGGATGAAAGTACTGTTTCTGCCCTAGTTCTAGATATAGAATCAGTGTGTCCAATGATCAATGAAGAGATAAAAGAAACTGTGGCATATATACATAGTGCAGCGTTATTCAACAATTAAAAAACAGTGAAATACAGCTTAGTGTGGTGGTGCACACCCATTGGAAGGCTGATAAAGGAGGATCATCAAGAGTTTGAGGCCAGCCTGGGCTGAAAGAGACCATCTCAAAAGAAAAAAGGAGGGGCTAGGGATTTGGCTGGGGCTGGGGATTTGGCTCAGCAGTAGAATGCTTGCCTAGCAAGCTGGAAGCCCTGGGTTTGGTCCTTGGCACCAAAAACAAAAAATAAACCTCCCCTAAAAAAGTTCAATCAAAAGAAAAAAAGGAGAGGGGAAGGGAGGAGAGAAGAGAGGAAGAGAAAGAAATATTAGTAAAATGGATGAATGGAAGGAGAAAATATATTGAGTGAAATAAGTCAGACCTAAAAACAAATATCGCTGGCAGCACTTGATTATTGAAAGACACTGTCAAGTAAGTAAAAAGCCATAAAAAAAAAGACAAATATCACATATTCTTACACATGGAATTTAGAAGAGTTGATCTTACTGAAGTAGAAAAATAATTCATGGGGCTGGTGAGATGGCTCAGTGGTCTAAAGCACCTACTTGAAACAAGCTTGGCAAAGCACAAGGACCACGGTTCAATCCTCCAGCACCACATGCCAGCCAGCCCCGCCCCCTGGTGGGCTGAGCTGGCCACACACACACACACAATAAATAAATGTAATAAATAAAAATAAATAAATATTTTTTAAAAAAAAGAAAAGAAAAATAATTCATAATAATCACTAAAAGTTAGGAAGGAAAGAATGAAAAAGGCCATGTAGATGTTAGATAACAGATACCAGAATAAAGTTAGATGAAAGGAGTAAGTTCCAGGGCTCTACAGTAGAGCAGTGACTATAGCTTATAACAAGGAGCAGCATCATATTTCTTTTTACAAAGATCAAGAAGAGAGTTTAAAAAGTTCTAACACGAGGGATTTTTTTTTTTTTTTTTTTTTTTTTTTTTTGCAGTACCGGGGATTGAACTCAGGGCCTTGCGCTTGCCAGGCAAATGCTTATTCGACTGCGCTATTTCCCCGGCCCCAATAAATGTTTAAGGACACAGAAATGCCAAACATTCTGATTTGATATTACATTGTATATACTATATGTAATGAATTATCACAACATACCCCATAAACATAACACTGAAAGTGATATTTAAAAAAGTAATTTTCTCCATGTAGTCTTCTATACATTCCAACTTGGAGGTCACAAATGAAAGGAACAGGATGTAGGAGTGGAAAATAGAAGCAATATACTGTACAGAATCATCTCCCAACAAGACAAACGTGGCAGACCCAATCCAGTCCCAATGTCGAGAAATGTCAAGGGTAGTGGTGGGGTGAGTAGGTAGGTGGGGACAGGTAGTAACAAGATTGGTGTAAATATCTAATGGAGGCTGATCTATAGTATTACCCAACTAGTGGAAAGACAACACATCCAGAAAAACAGAAAAAAAGAGACTGTATATTCAGGTGAAAGGGGTGGATGATGCAGCTGGGAACCCAGCTGGAGTGGAAGATGTAGGCACAGGGCAAAGAGCTATATCACACCAATGCTGTAAGATGGAGTCTAAACACCTCCTCATTCAGCAACAGGACCATATGGAGTCATCAAGGACACTCTGTATGACTGGGACCAAGGGACTCTAATAGTGGCTACTTCATCACAAAGGGCACTGCTGTACCTGCCTGGGCCCTGTTCAGACTCAGGCATGTTCAGAACTTGACCAAATGGTGTCTACTGGGATCCCTGGGATGCCTAATGCCCCCTGTAGTACACAGGGTGTACCTCCTGTTCTTTATCTGTTCAGAAACCGCCTCTGTTTTCTGACTTTGCGGCAAGGGGAATCAGCAGATTTTAAAGGTATAGTGATAGGTTTATAGGTTCCTCCCTCTGGCTAGGTGGCTACTGGCCCCACAAGACCAAGATCAGGGCTATAGGCTGAATTTGACAGGGCAGGACACTCCGGAGATCCAGGGATGTTCTTCTTGGGCAGCTGCTGCTTCTTAGAATTGGACCTGGACACAGCAGGGGTGGCCAAAACAGCTGGTTCAGGCCTGAGAATAGTGCCCAGGTTGAGTGCTAGAGCCTCTAAGAACTGTCTCACTAATGGTGGTAGTGAGGACACTGTGGTATGGTCCTCAGCTAAACTGTTTAAAAAAAAAAAACCTACTAGATATCCCCCACAGATGTTGTAATCATCAAGCAGGGACAGGTCCCACCAAAGGGGTGGGAGGAGGGCCAGGCCTAGGGTTAGCCCATCAGGTGTCCAAGGATCTCACAAACACAGTTCAAGTTGTCCTGGTGGTGCTTGAAGTAAAAGCATATGAAATCTCCCAAATGGGCCAAAAAGTAATCTAGCAGGCATGTGGAGTCATCCAAGATGCCTGGGTGTCAGATGGGCTTTCAGTCAAAGTCAATCCTGAAGAGGCAGCCATTCACACAGTTTGGAAGGGGGGCAGATTTCTGTGGGCTTTTACCACTGGTAAAATTGTTAGCTGCACTCTTCTGCTCCATGGTTGTGCACACATAGATAGGCAGCACACAATAAAACAGAGAAGGATCAGGTGGACAGGGCGTGGGAGACCCAGCCGTTCCAGGAAAGTAAGTGCTGAGGACCAAGGAGCTGATAGCTGCAGCCTCAGGAGAGCAGAGGAGAGCCGAAGGGACTGTCAGAGGCAGGCCATCATCTAAGGCAATCTGTCCAAAAACAAGGTAGAGAAGAGCAGAAACGAGGTCCAACCACTGCCACCAGCAGGAAGAGGCAATAAGCAGGTAAACCCTTATTTCTGACTAGGATCCCTGAGTAGAAAAGGGGGCCCAGGAGGCTGCCCTGAGAAGTCCAAGAAAGCAGATAAATGCCATCTGCAACTTTCAAGGTAACTGTGTAGGACAGATGCTGTCAATCTCACAAGAGGAAAAATGGTCAGATTGGAATGATACAGGAAGTTCAGGACAATGATAGTAGCACCTTTTTTTGTTGTTGTTGTTTCCGGAACCAGGGATTGAACTCAGGCCCTTGTGCTTGCCAGGGAAGCACTTATTCTACTGAGCCATCTCCTTGGCCCCCCGATAGTAGCACCTTTTAAATAAATTCTGTACTCATATCAAACATTATCATCTTCCCCCCACATGAGGTTGGTACTATTATTGTTACTGAGGCAGAGCCATGGATCAACTTGTCCTATGGCCACACATTAATTACTAAATGACAAAGAAAGCAGCAGAATCTGGCTGTAGAGACCAGAAGCTTAACCATATCATGCAGGTTATAGACTATGCTTCAGTCTGCTAAGTAGGCTCCTGGCCACCCCAAACACTATAAACCACTAAGTACACAGAGCATGTCATAGGTTCTTGCATATCCCAGGACCAGTCACACCCTATAGAAACAGGGCACTTGCTATTACACTTTCTGCCTCAGCACCCATGCGCTGTGCTAAGTGCTGCCTGCAGGCAATGTCATACCCAAACACACCTCCCTACATTTCCCATCCAACCAGCAGCCTGGCATTCTAATCCCCAAACATGTAATCCTGAAAACACACTTGATGTGTTTACTCCCACCAGATTAGCTACCTGTACCAAAGCTCTGAACCTGCCCCTCCCTGCCTCCAGCAATGGTCATCAAAGAGACTCAAACTATTAGTAGCTACAGTTCCCTCCTAGAAGAAAGGACCCCTCCTCTGGGGCTTTCTTCCACGGCCCTCTCCTCAAAGTCTCTAGAGAGGGAGATGCACTCATGAACTTCATGAAATATTTTGTGCTTTACCCCTGTACACACACCCTAGTCCTCCACCAACTTACACCTATGAGCCCAAGGCTTGAACATACCTTCATGCCTAGTTTCCTGTGTTTACTAAACCCCCAGTTCCCCTGGGGAGGCATAGCTATGTTGGTCTTTCTGCCCAGTTCCTCCCAGGTGGCCTGCAATACATGAAGCTTTCAGGGACACTGGCACTTACTTCTACTACCCAAATATTGTGGAACACCTCCCACTTCTGCCTGAAAGTGTACCCATTGTCCCTGCCCTCCTACCCTAATGCCAGAAAACACTAGGGCCTGTGGAAGCAGTACCCACTGAACAGCCCACCACTGAGTTCTAAAAAAGTAGTTCCCACAATTCAGGCCCCAGAGCCCAGCAAGGACCCAAAGGCTAGTGTCAGGCTGTCCACTAGAGCCAATTTCTATGCTGGTGAGCCAGGCTGCTACTCAAGATTTCTGTCCTCCCTTCTTGCCAGTTTTCACCTCCCACTCAGACTAGGAATCTTAACTATTACCCTCTCCACTCACCTGCATATCTGTGTGCCCCTTGCAGCCTCAGGAAAAAGTCTCTTCTACATCAGCAAGCCATGCTCTGGCCTAAGCCTTCTTAACCCTTAACCTTCCTAATCCTGGGCCAAACCCTGACCATTTTGGGAACCCTAGTCATCCCATGTCTCCCAGGACTAATCAGTTTGTTTTATCTCTCCCTTTATTCTCCCCACCACATCTAGCACTGGGAAATTTTGGTCCTTCACCTGGACTGGACTGCGTTCCACTGAAAGACCAGGGCCCTTGAGGAACTTGCTTCCTTGCCTCTGCAAAGCCAAAGGCAGCTCTCGGAACGCTGGAGCATTCTCTGCTCCAAGGAGCCTCAGGAATAGAACTAAGCCTACGAGGGCGGACGACCGCACAGTCCTCCCTCTCCCCAGCAGTCGCATGGAGGAGGTAAGACCTCACAAGCCCCACAGCTTGAAGGGCCACCTACCTGCGAACACGCGAGAAAGGATTCAGGATCCACAGTTGGAGACAGGACGCTGTTGGAGACAGCTCTCCCTGGTCTGCAGGGGAGAGCTACAGTCCAAGCATCATCTAGAAAGTAGAGAACGAGATGGGCCTGAGCGAGGCAGGCGGAGAGCCGCCGCGATGTTCCCGAAGCAGCGAAAATAGCCCAAAAGTCTCCGCCACCCCACACAACAAACAGACCAAGAAATAGAGGCCCCAGGCCAGGTCGCTGGGAGCCTGACCAGGGGCTTAGAGCGCCCCCCAGCCGGCAGGAAACTGGGAAACGACGGAGAAGGCTCCTCTCCGGACTGCGCAACGCAAGGTTCTCCCGCCGACCGCCCCGTCTCGCGCGGGAACACTAACCATCCGAAATTGCCGACCGCAGATTCCAGCAGTTAGCAGCCCAAGACTCAACCACGTCGCTCAGCCACTCCCCCAGCGCGCGCGCGGCCACTCCGGGCGTCTTCACACAAACTCCCGGTACGACCTACGCCGGGCGCGGGCGCGCGCTCTGCCCGCCGCGCCTGCGCCGTGCGCCTTGGAGCCTCCGCCGCGCAGGCGCTCCCAGGCTCGGTCAGCGCGGCGCGCGGGGTGATGGGAACGCTCGCGTGGTACCCGGGCGCTCGGAGATGGGCGCTCCGAGTTGCACTGGAGCTGTTGGCTAGCAGCAAATTCTAGCTTTAATTCTCTTGCACCCGCTGTAAGTTGCAGCAGCGGAGATCATAGGGCTGGACAGTGCTGTCTTAACCCTCGGTAGTGCCTTCGAGTCAGCTGAACACCGGAGGAGCTCCTGGGCAGCGCAGCGGGTGGCGGGGGGTGTAGGACACGCCTGCGGGTCGAGTGTTTCGGGAGGGTGTGAGCACTGAGGGCCTGCAGAGCCCTTGGGCCTCGTGAGCCCTCCGCGGGCGTGGCAGGCCCACAAAGTGCGTCCTACCACCCACTGTCTGTGCAGGCAACCTAGTCAGGACCTGGGTTACGTACTTCCAGCACAGACAGGCAGCCAGGACAGGCTGGCCTCAAGGACACTCCACTTACCTGCCTAGGGGCTGCTGGCAGGGTCTGTGGGATTTCTCTAGTGGGTGGATCCAGAGAGGACAATTAGGGCTGGCTGTCAAGGTCTCTCCACAGGGCCAGGCCCATCGCAAGCATGCCACCCAGCAGGACTCAGCACTTTGGAAACGAGAAAGATTGTGTGCTTCTTAAGTGCACCTTGAGGAGCCACTCTGCGCTACCTTCCTACAACCTCGTGATGCTTAGATGAGGTGGAAGTGGGTTCCAGGACCTAATGTCAATGGATGGGCCAAGGACCTGGATGCACGCCAGGGGTCCCCGGGTCAGGGGCAGCCGGATTTGCTGGAAAAATGATGCTTCTAAAGGCGAACACACATGTAACACACCAACTCCCTTTCTGCCCTGGTCTAGTGACTCCTTTCATGAAAGATCTCTGAAATGTTATCTGCATTTACACCCAAACTCCCTCGCTTTGATCCTTGAAACGCGAATCAAAGATCACATTGTACCTTGCCTGGGTGTATAGGGCTTTCAGTCGCCTGGGCCAAAAATAATAAAAATGGCACCCAGCCAGGAAACGCCTCCTTGAAGTGTGAATGAAACTTGGATTTTTCGGTTGTATCTTTCCTAATTGACCTGATAATTTAAACTTCCTCCCTCAGGGGAGAGAGGGAGTTCCTGTGAATTTAGCTTACCTCAGACTCCAGGCAGCTCCGGCCAATTTAGAGCTAGTCAGCAGAAAGTTGGTGGCAGGCTTGTGCCAAAGAAGACTAATCCAACTTGACCCCAAAACTGCAGGAGGTGGGGGGTTCCAAATTGCTTTTTTATTGTTTCAGACCAATTTCTGTGTATTTTTATTGTAGTAAAATACACAAAGCATAATATTTATTGCCTGAGCTATTGTTACATGTGCAATTCAGTGGCTTTAAATACATTCTTACTGTCATGCAATCATCACCATTATTCCCGGAGCTTTTCATCACCTCAGAAACTCTGCATCCATTAAACATTCTCATTCCTTCCCACCCCCAAGCCCTGGCACCCACCAGTCTTTCTGTCCTTATAAATTTGACTATTCCAGGTATCTCTGTGGACAGGGTCAATATTTGTCATTCTGTGATTGTTATATTTCACTTAGCATCACATTTTCAAGGCTCATCCATGTTAGAGCATATGTCAGGATTTCCTTTTATATACCATTTTTGTGTAAATATCACATTTTGCCTATTTATCTTTCCATGAATACTAGGTTGGTTTTCGCCTTTTGACCATTGTGAATAATGATACTGTGAGCATTGCACAAATATCTGTTTGAGTCGCTGACTTCAGTTCTGTTAGGTACATGCCTAGGTTACTGAGGTTGCTGAATCTTACAGTGATTGTGTTTGGCCTTTTGAGGAACTACCAAACTACTGTCCATAGGAGCTGCTTTGTTTCACACCCTCACCAGCAATGCTCAAGGGTTCCCTATTTCTTTGCATCCTCCCAACATTTGGTTAATTTCTGAATTTTAAAATAATAGCCATCCTAATGGCATCTCCATGTGGTTTTGATTTGCACCTCCAAAATGACAATTGATATCGAGTATCTTTTTGTTTATTGGCCATTTGTATGTCTTCACTGGAAAAATGTCTTAAGTCCTATGCATATTTTTAATTGGGCTTTTTGTTCTTGAATTGTAAGAGCTTCTAAATATTTTGGATATATATACTCAGGTGTATATATGTATATATGTATATATATATATATATATATGCAATATAAGTATATACATTACATAACTCTATATAACTTGCCAGTATTTCTCATTTTATTCTGTTAATACTATCCCTTGACACATAGAATTTTAAATTTTTCATTAAGTCCAATTTGTGTTTTTTGGGGATTTTTTGTTTTGTTTTGTTTTTGGGTTTTTGTTTTTTTTTTTTTTTTGTTTTTGTTTTTCCAGTACCAGGGATTGAACTCAGGACTTTGCACTTGCCAGGCAAACACTTATTCTACTGAACTCTCCCTGGCCCTCAATTTGTGTATTTGTTGTTGCCTGTGATTTTGATGTCATATCTAAAACCTCATTGCCAAATCCAATATTATGAAGGTTTTGCTCTATGAGTTTCTTTTAGAGTGTTATAGCTTGAGGTCATACTTATTTAAGTCTGTAATATATTTTGAATGAATTTCTATATATGGCATTGGGTAAAAATCCAACCTTATTCTTTTGCATATAGATACTCAGTTTTCCCAGTACCATGTATTAGAAGACTGTCCTTTCTCTGTCTTGGCACCCTTGTCAGAATCATTTGACAGTATACATGAGGGCTTATTTCTGGATTCTCTATTCTATTCCTTTGGTTTCTATGTCTGCCTTTATGTCAGTACTACACTGTTTTGATGACTGTAGCTTTGTTCTAAGTTTTGGAGTCACAAGATATAAGCTCACAAAGATTGAGCTATTAGGAGTTTCTTGAGTTTCCATATAAATTTTAGAATGGGTTTTTCTATTTTTTCAAAAATGCCACTGATACTTTAACAGAAACACTCAATCTGTAGATTTTTGACATGGTATGGACATCTTAATATTAGGTTTTCTATTCTAGGAGTACAGTATTCTTTTTACTTAGATCTTTTATTTCTTTCAGCAATGCTTTGTAGTTTTCAGTATATAAGTTTTAACTGCCTTGGTTAATTCCTACTAACCAAGTATTTTTTATGCTACTTAAATGGAACTGTTAGTAGGGCATAGTGACACACAACTATAATTCCATTTACTCAGGGAGACTGAGGCTACAGGATTGAAAGTTTGAGACCAACCTGGGCAGTTTACCAAGCTCTATTTCCAAAATAAGAAGGGCTGGGAATACAGCTCAGTGGCAGCTCACACTGCTAGGTCCTCCTTGTACTTGGAGTTGCGTGAGACCTCTCCCTAGTATCATTTCTTTCTGTGATTCATTGTTAGTACATAGAAATGTAACTGATTTCTGTATGATGATTTTATTTTCTGCAACTTTGCTGAATTTATTTGCTGTAACAGTGCTTTTGAGGAATCTTCAGTTGTTTCTACATGTAAGATCATGTCATCTGTAAGCATCTCTGTTTTGCTCCTGACCTTAGAGAATAGCTGTTCAGCTTGCATCTTGGAATAGGCTGTTAACTGTGAGTTTTCCATGTATGAACTATGATACTGAGAAAATTGAACATTTTTACCATAACGTGTTAAATTTTGTTCATATTTTTTTTTCTTTTTGTGGCCAGCTCAGCCTGCCCTGGGGGCAGGGCTGGCAAGGCATGTGGTCCTGGGGATTGAACCACTGTCCCTGTGTTTGCCTAAGCTTGCCTAAGCAGGTACTTTAGACTGCTGAGCTATCTCGCCAGCCCGAAAGTGTTGAGTTCTGTTAAGAACTTTTTCTCAGTTTTGTTTCTGTTTTGTTTTTGCTCAGTACTAAGGCCTTTCCCTGAGGAGTGCTAAACTACAGTACTTTTATTTACTATTACTATTACTATTATTATTATTATTATTATTATTATTATTATCTTTCTAGGACAGGGTCTCCCTGTGCAGTTGAGGCTGGCCTTGAGCTCACTTTGTAGCCCAGGTTGATTTTGAACTTGCAAGGATCCTCCTGCTTCAGTGTCCCAAGTGCTGGAATTATAGGTGTGAACCACCACCGTTGGGTTTTTTAAAATTTTGAAACAAGATCTTACTAAGTTCTAGGTTGGGCTTGTATTTATGATCTTCTCACCTCTGTCTCCCAACTGTCTAGGACTACAGGCTTGTGCCACCATACCTAGCCTTTTTTTGTTTTTTTGTATTAACTCAGATGACTGAACAATTTTTTTCTTCCATTTGCTCTATTAAGTAGCTGTGGAAATAGCTCAGTGGTCTAAGCGCCAGCCTGGCAAGCCCAAAGACTGGGTTTGATCCCCAACACTGCCTGCTGTGCTGGCCCTGCCACTGAACAGAGTGAGACCCTGTACCATTTGCTCTATTAATGGGATGCATTACATTAAAATCATAATAAGTGATTTTAACTTCATGGTGGACTGGATTTTTTTTCCATAATTTTATTGAGAGACAAATAGCAATGAGACAGTTTCAAATCGAATTGGTAGGACAGTTTCAATAATTAACACATTGCATACTCTCTTCCTAGTGGTTATTTGCTGTACAAAATGCAGACATGATATCCTATTTACAAACACTATTACAACAAATCCTTCTATTCATTAAGAACATGTAACTATATATCTATCCTAACCATTTTGAGTACACAGATACAAAATGGACATTCATTTATATATTCCCTTTTTTGTTTAGTTCCTTCATTTGACTATTACAGGTGTGTTAACTCAGCAAAATATTCTAAAAGAGTCCAGTAGTCCATAATAGTAGTGGGTCTCCCTCTTGACTGGCAAAAAATATGGAATGCTCCACGATTTGCGTGTCATCCCTGCATAGGGGCCATGCTAATCTTCTCTGTATCGTCCCAATTTTAGTATATGTGCTGCCGGAGCAAGCACGAGCTGGATTGTTAACAGCTCAGTGCTGCCTTTTCCCCCGACACAATATGAAAATTCACTTTGCTGAGTCTGCCAGCTGCCCAGCACATGATAACAGTGTTCTAATTGAATATGCACAACACAAGTGTCCAGGACTATCCCAGGAAATGGTAACCTTGAGAATCCCCTGTCCAACCCACAGCCCCTCTTTGGGAAATGCCCCCACCTGTGTGGACTGCTAGACCTGTGTAAACTGGGAGGCCCAGAGCTGGTGGTCACACAGAGGACACTGGCTTATGGACTTTAGCTCTTAGGTATTAGCAGTTAATGTCAGCTCTGTAGCTCCCAAAAAAGAGAAGGAAGAAACAGGGACATGTAGTCCAAGAAAGGTGACACCAGCTGCCCTAGGAATGTTAGCCCCTTAACGGTCTTCTGTGTTCCTTGCACTTGGATTTTCACGACAGCCCTTCCCCAGAGCTAGCTGGTAGACATTGGAGACTAGAATCATAGAAGCGGGAGTGGCAGGGACTCTAGTTAGCCAGCCACTTTGCTGCCCACCCCATGAATTTTCCCTAAAATGTGGAGCTGGATCTTCACTACCAGCACTGAGGATTAAACCCAAGGCCTTCACAACCACTTTTTTTTTTCTTTTTCTTTCTTTTTTTTTTGGTCAGAACTGGGGATTGAACTCAGGCTCTTGTGCTTGCCAGGAAAGCGCTTATTCCACTGAGCCATCTCTCCAGCCCCCACAAACACTTTTTAACTTTTTTTTTTTTCAGAACCAGGGGATTGAACTCAGGCCCTTGCGCTTGCCAGGAAAGCGCTTATTCCACTGAGCCATCTCCCTGGCCCCTTCCACAAACACTTTGTATCTCCATCTTTTTGTTTTGTCCAGAGACAGGGTCTCACTAAATCAATAAGGTGCCCAGACTCAAACTTGTGATCTTCCTGCCTCAGGTTCTCAGAGTGTTGAAGTTAAAAATGTGTATCACCATACCAAATGGCCTTTAGTGTTGCCTTTGTGGGTTTCATTCTATTCATTATCATCATTTATTGTTGTTGTTTTCTTCTTGTTGTTAGTCCTCCACAATGAAATGTACAGATCCTAGTACAATTCCTCCCTGCAGTTTCACCTTCCATGATTTCAATTACCCACAGTAACATAGCCTAAAAATATTAAATGAAAAATTCCAGAAATAAACAACTCATAAGTTTTAAATTCTGTCATTCTGAATATCATGATGAAATCTTGCACCATCCTATTCCATCCCACCGGGGCCATGAAACATCCCTTTGCTCAACATATCCACATTATATACATTACCTGCCCGTTAGTCAATAAATGATGTCTGTTAACAGATCAACGGTCACAATATCACCATGCTTGTGTTAAAGTAACTCTTATTTCATTATTAATGACCCCAAAGCAAAAGAGCAGTGATACTAGCAGAAATTTGGATATGTCAAAGAGAACTTCTAAAGCACTTACTTTGCTCTTTTAAGTGAAAGTGTGAAATTCCCCAATTTAATAAGAAAAGAAAAAACTGTATAGTAAAGTTGCTGAGATCTGCAATAAGAACCAGTCTTCTAATCATGACATTGAGAACAGTTACTGTTATACCTCAAACCCCAAAAGTTATCGCTACAGTGTGTAAGTGCTCAGTTAGAATGGAACAGACATTAAATTTGTGGATGGGAAACATGAATAGTAAATGTGTTCCAATTCATGTCAAAGTATTGTGCCAGAATGCACAGATCCTATGTGGAGACTTTGGCCAGGGACCCCATGAAAAGAGTAACATCAAGCAATTTATGTTACTTTATTATAGTGTATTATCATAATTGTTCTATGTTAGTTATAGTTATTGTTGTTAATCTCAGACTGTACCTAGTTTATAAATTATGCTGTATCACAGGCATTTGTCATAGGAAAAAACAAAGCATATATAGTTTGTTATTATCGAAGATTTCAGACATCTACCAGGGTCTTGAAGGATAAGGGACACAACTGTAGCACAAACCACTGGCACACACAATTTAACTATAGAATGTCACATCCGACAGTGCCCTTATCTTCTATTCTTCAAAAACCCTATTTTGATTTCTACCCCCTACCTTTTTTTAAAATGTATTTAGTACAGGGCCTACAGGGTCTCACTACATAGACTGGACTCATAGTGATTCTCCTGTTTTCAGCCTCCCAAGTTCTGGGATTACAGGCATGCACCACCATGCCCAGTCTCAATCACCATCTCAGTGTGCCCCAGGGACAGGTCTGGCACACCAGGGATCGAACCCTAGCCAATAGTTTTCTGCGTAAGCAGGCGCTTTAGTCCACTGAGCTATCTGGCCAGCCCTTTCTACCCCCTACCTTTATTTTGCTCATTTGGAACTTCCAACAAATGGAATTCTACAGGATGGACTCTGTGGCACCTAGCCTTTTACAATTAATATAGCATTTTTACAATTCACCCAATTTGTGGTTGATTGTATTTCATTTGTTTTGATTGTTGTGGAGCCTCCCATGGCATGTCTACATGGTTTGTGCATCAGTTCTTTCATCAGTGCACGAGTTCTGGTGTTTCCTGGTTTGAAGCTATGATGAAGAAAGCAGAAATGAGCATTCTTTATATTCACATAGGTTTCATTTCTCTGGGATAAATAGCTAGGAATAAATTTGCTAGATCACAGGATAGATGTGTCTATTTAACTTTATAACAAACTGTTAAGAGCTTTCCAAACTTCCAAATAGAAGTTTTATACTTTTTGTAGTAATGCATAAAAGATTCCAGTTGACTCACACCCTCTCCAACACTCAGTATTGTCAATCTTTTACATTTTAATCATTCTAACAGAAGTGAAGTAATATCAATTATAGGTTTTGTTTGAATTTCCTGATAACTAATGGTGTCTATGCTTTTGTGTATTTGGTTGTCATCTTTTATTAATTTGGAAGAATTGTTGCATATAGGATTTTGAAGTCTTTGTGGAAGAAATACATTTAAAATACTTTTTCCTACTTTGTCATATCTCTATAATTTTCTTAATAATGTCTTTTCTTGGTGATACTGGAGATTGAACCCACTGATAGTGGTCTTAAAGAGAAGCTTGAGACTGGGTGTGGTGGCATGCCCCTGTAATCCCAGCTCTTGGGAGGCTGTAAACAGGCGGGTCACTATGATCCGATCTAGTAGTGAGACCCTGAACACCATGTAGACCCTTCCCTAAAATAAAAAAAAAAAATAAAAAGAGAGAGAGAAACTTTACATTTTGATAACTTCTTCTTCTTCTTCTTCTTCTTCTTCTTCTTCTTCTTCTTCTTCTTCTTCTTCTTCTTCTTCTTCTTCTTCTTCTTCTTC